CGGCGGGAGGGGAACGAAGCTGCCGTGTGCCCTTGCCCGGGAAAGGAGCCGCGGTGCCGTCGCGGCTTTCCGCGCCGACCCGGGGCTTTAAAAGCTGAAAGTGGATGCCTAGGCTGCCGGCTTCGGTGCTGCACGCTTCCACGGGCCTTTCCCCACCTCTGCTGTTGATGAGTTTTGCTTTTTATTCTCCTCTTAGGCCTTGGCCATGCAAACGCTTGACGCATGCGCTCCGTGTTGTGTACATGCGAGCAACTCGTGTGCCTGAGTTTAAGCACGAGGCTTTCCTTCTTAACATCCGCTGGACGGGGACATCATGTTTTCTAGTTCACATTTGGACTCGTGGGCTTGGCTGTAGTGCCACATGGCAAAGAATGTGTAGCAAATTGGAGGAAATTTTGAGAAAATCAATGTAACTGCATTTTGAACAGCTTAACCGAGCTAAAGTGTTTACACGCTCCTTGCTTAAAAAGAAACACAAACAATGATGATTCCTTCTGACTCCCTTGGAAAGGAAGAATAAATTTAATCTTCCTCGCTAACATAGGGAGGAAACTGAGACAGAAACAAGTAAGCGGTGAGTCAGAATTAGAGGTCTGGTGCTTTGGATTCTCAGGGTTATGTTGCTTGCGCCTTCACACCAGCGTTTTTCAAGCCAGAAAGGATGGTTTCCAGAGCACTTGGTGGCGGTCTGTACAAGCCTGTAGTGGTCAGATATCCTCCCCGTGACCTGGAGAGAGATGCACAGAGGAAAGCAACATCCTTCGAGAAAGAGGTGTCCATGGACGTGAGAAAGTAACACTGGGTAAGGCTGCAAAAATACCCTTGCCCAACGTTGCTTGCTCATCTTCAACCCATCCCTGTAGTTGCCACAGAGGTGTTCATCAGGTGCGTGTGTGTGAAGGGAGGTGATTCTTGCCATAGACACAGTGCATTTGGAAAAAGCCTTGTGCATCCACTTGCCTGTTTTCAGGACTAATCCAGGGCAAAATTCTGATTTTGCCACTTGTGACAATCCTACAGCGGCAGAGACACCCAAGTAGTTTTTCTTTACCTGCAGGTTCAGTAAGTGAAACGGTTCGAGTGAGTAAGGAACACAACAATGTTCACTTAACTGCAGTACAAGTGTCTCTGCATTTCTGAGTCCTGGGGACCCGTGATGTACTTCAGAGGCATGTGTGTTGGTTGCCTCTCTTAAGAGAAGCTTCTGCCAGGGTGATCAGTGAGATAATGCCGGGCATGCCAGGGGTGGTATCAGGAGAAGTGAAGGGCAGCGTACGTGGGAAAGCGAACTGCCCTGCTGTTGGCCATGAGCACCAGGTTATTACGAAGGGGTCCTGCCTGATGGGAGAAGCCAGCTTGAAGAGGCTGACATGTTTGGCAGGCATACAGACAAGATGGTGTGTAGGAAGGCTCCTGCTATTTGCCTGAGTGTAAAAGGTAGGCCAGCAGCACCGTGAGCAGTAAGGAAGGGCTAGCAGTTTTGAAGTGTAATTTGAAGCAGCAACATCCAAAAGGAGAGGCTTTTTTCTATAGACACAACCTGCTTTACCATCCCCAGGTCGAGCAGCATCATTATCTTCAAGAAGATGAGACCGAGGATCGCCTGCAAAAAGTCATTTATCCCCAAAGTCAATTATCCCAGAAGCTCATGGTTTCTCCCCCAGGAAATGACAGCCCCCCCCACTCCCGGCAGCATCACTGGCAGCTTTTCATAAGAGGAAAGGGGAATGACTTTACTGCTCCGTTGGCCAAGTTGGTAAATGAGGCTCCGCTTGTGATTTACTATCAGTGCAGCTTCAGATGTGGTAATGAAATAAAAGGAAATCAATACCCAATGGGTTCAGGCACCAGTGAATTGCCAAAACCAACACAGACTATACTTTGTCTTTTATTCATCTTTTTTATTTTCTATTATTTTAAGGCTATGTTTTTTTCAGCCTGATGCACAATGTCTTTTTAAAATATACCCAGTCCTACTTGTTTCATTACCGTGCCCCTGTTCAGAATGTGCTTAATGGGAAGCAGTGACAAATAACAGCTCATTGCACTTTGATCTAAGCAGCATGTCACATCAGTGCTCATTAAAAATTGTATTAACCAACTCAACCGTGACTTTCTGAACTTGGGCTCCTGGGGCACGGTATATGCCTAATGTAGGTATAATGTAAAATCATTTACGAAGGCATCTCTCAGCCCTATTCTCAAAAATCTCGTAGGGGCAAAAGCATTTCCAAAAGGAAGTTGTCAACAGAAGTTTGCACAGAAAGGAGCTGTTTTGGAAAAAAGAAAAAATGATGGGAAATGTACTTTGTGGCTGAGGCCTTCTGCAAAAGGTATTAAAATAGGAAGAAAACGAACTTGTTGGACTTGTTGTGTGACACTTCAAAGATCTAGGCATATCAGCCTAGCACTACTTAGAGTGCCGGTTGGTTGGCTGGCCGCCAGTGCCAGTTTGGTGGTGAAAGATGTTGAAAAGAGAGAGAGGATGGGAAAGAATGGAGGCAGGGAACATGTGGGACACTTTATGCTGTGGAGAAGAATGGGATGGGGCAGCGCTCGTGGTCTTGGTAATGCTTTGACAGTGCCACAACTATGATTTGCTAATGGCCATATTATGTTTTTAAAAAGGCAATATGTTCTCTTGAATAAGTCAAAAGAGTGGGACATAAAGATTTATTAGAAAGGAGCGGGAGTGACTAATTCGCAAAGAATCAAACGCCTGTCAGATTTCTGTTTGCAAATTGTCTGTGACAAATTCATCAAAAGAAGTGAAGATTTGGCGAGAAGTTTTCCTATATGTCCAGTTTGAGTTAAAATCCTCAAGGTGAGCCTGGAGCCTGCCTGATACGTAAAAATACGCACTATGTGGCTTCTTATTTTGGCTTCAGCTGTTTGAGAGAGAAGTTAAACTGTTTTACCATGTAAAACAAATGGCAATTGGTTTGTTTCTCCTTTCAGTTCGGACTGAAAAAGCTATAGTTTATGGGATGTAGCAGGGTTTATCAGTTATTGAATCTATCATTTTTATATTTTTAGAATAAGGTGTTTAAGCTGCTGATTTTTTTCTTATTCTTCGTTAAAAAAAAATAACTGAAAGAGCCTTTGGCAGTATTTTCTAGTTGTTCAGCTCCCAAATTGTGCAGAACATTTCACCTTCCCCTACTGGAGATTTGATCTTCAATGCAGCCACTGTAGCCAGTGGAATTTCACGATTATTTTAAGGCATGCTGAATCTGGGTTTAGTTTTCTCAAGCATCTACCTGTGGTAATGCTCACCTGCAAACTGTGGCTCTGAAATGCTGCAGGTTACCACAGAGGTTGATCCTTTATTGCTTTTCCTTATTTAGGTAGATAACTAGTCTTGAGAAGTGTATTTTGGAAATTAATCCTTTTTAGTCATCTAAGACATAATGCACATGTTGAAGGTCTGCTACCTGGTAACCCGCATAGAAAATATGGACCAAACATAGTAAAAATGAAGGTCTGGTGGCCATTGTCAAGGTAGACTCTTTTCCCTCTATTTTTTTTCAGATACATGCAGAGACATGCACGCACGCACACACACACACACACAGCCTGTCTGCTAGAATAGCCTTGCTGGTTTCACAAAAATGTAGTTATCTGAAGTATTTTTTTTAGTTTTCCTAGAACAGTTTGAAAAGTAGGTGGGAATAAAGGTATAAAACGACATGAAGAATAGACACTGCAGAGCTCGGGCCATCCCAGACAAAGAAATGAAAGAAAGACGTAAAGAACTCAAACAAAGTAAAACGGCTTTCCATAAAATAAGCTCTCTCCTCCTTGTTTCTCCACTTGTTTCTGGCATTTAAAATGTGCTTGTGATTTGATTGCTCAGAGCCAAAAGAGAATTTCTCTGTGTAGAATTACTTTACT